AAAAAAAAAAATCCTATCATTGCGAATGAGGGGCAGTGCAGAGTGGGGACCCAAGACACATCTGTGGGCAACTGGACATCCCCTTACAGAAGTGTCACGAGGAAGAGACGAGCCAGTCAGGGTGTAGTGTAGCAACAATGAAACATACAACTTTCCTCTAGTTCCTAAATGATCCCCCACCCCCACTATCATGATCCCAATTCTACCTTATAAATCTGGCTACACCAGAGGATGTACTCTGGTACAGATAGGAAATGGAAACACAGGGCATCCATGGCAGATGATCTCTTCAGGATCAGTGGTGATACCGGGATAGTGGAGGGGGGAGTGGATTGCAAATGGGGAACTGATTGCAAGGCTGTACATATAACCTCATCCCTGGGGGGCAGAAAACAGAAAAGTGGGCGAAGGGAGACATCAGACAGTGTAAGATATGACAAAATATTAATTTATAAATTATCATGGGTTCATGAGAGATGGGGAGCAGGGAGGGAGCGGCAAAAATGAGGAGCTGATGCCAGGGGCTTAAGTGGAGAGCAAATGTTTTGAGAATAATGAGTACAATGAATGTACAAATGTGCTTTACACAATTGATGTATGTATGGATTATGATAAGAGTTGTATGAGCCCCCAATAAAATAATTTTTAAAAAAATACAGTATTTTTTAAAAAGTTTATATCGTAGTATTACTTGGAATATATTTCCCAACTTGCTCTTTTCTCTCAAAATGTATCGTTTCTATTTATTCATGATAATAAATGTAACTCTAGCTTACACATTTCAAGTGTTGTATAGTTTTTAGTAGTACATGAACACATTTACCAGTTCTCCTCTTTACTGACACTTTAATTTGCTTTCACTTGTTTTGCTATAACAACGCAATTATGAACACTAGACATGCAATATGCATGAGTTTCTCCAAGAATTCCGCAAATTACTCTCTAAAGTAATTCTAGTAATTTTCACTCACGTCAGTGTGAGAATCCCTTACCCTACACATCCTTACCAACACTTGGTATTGACAAGCTTACTTTTCATCAGCTTAATGTAAATGTGAAGGCGCTTTGATATTTTAAGTTTAACGTCCATAATCATTAATGAGATTGACTAGCTTGTTGGCAATTTACACTTCCTTTAAAATAAATTATGCTTGTGCAACCTTTGCTTTCTATTTGCATTTCAAAAACTTTATGAAAAATGGAGTTAAAAGTAATAATAAAAATTTACTTCACAAATTTTAAAGCCCCCTTTTATGTAAAACTAGTGACTATTGAGTTAATTCTGAATCATAGTGACACACCATGTATGTCACAGTAGGGCTGGGCTCCACAGGGTTATCAATGACTAACTTTGAGGCACAGAGCTAAAGACTATCTTCCAAAGTGCCTCTGGGTACACTTGACCTTCCAACCTATGTTAGTTATTATTTATCAATCCCTCAATATAAACAACTGTGAAAATCAATATAAATTTTTGAAAATTAAGACTTCAACTCTCATTTGATACAGTAAATTCAAGTTATATATTAAAATATATTCCTAATAACTAAAATGATTTTGTTCTTTAAAACAAAGTCTTTTAATTATAAAATTGAGTTGCATCTGTTGAGAGAGTAATGTACTTTTTAAAGAGGTAAAACTGAAAACACACACAACTGAGATATAAAAAAAACATACAATCACTCTTACCCTATGACATCTTTCAAAGGCTTGTTTGGTTTCCTGTAAAAGATTAACCACAACTTCTTGGGATAGGAAAGTTTCACCATGAGTATCAATACTTGGCCCCAGTGGTAAATTGGTACGCTGTCGAATTCGTTCTTTCAAATCTTGAATACTAGCACAACATACCCACAAATGAAAAAAGAATGCTATTATACCTTGATTTTTAAGTATTCTTAAGCTTAATAGACGTTAAGAAAAATAAATCTCATATATATGGTTTCCTTAGAAAGGTTAGGAAATAAGTTAACAATCTAGATAAATGGCCTTATTTAAAAATAAAACTTTAATTTTTAAACTATTTTAATATACTTAACACGTGGATGTGTTGCATATTTCTTCACTATCTTAAAATAGTAAAGATAATTAAATCCTTGCTCAATGACGGAGGACTACTTTAAACATTACACGGTGGTAACTAAAATATATAACTCTACACTGCTGTGAACTACCTTGAAACAAAACAATATGATTATTCTTTGGTTTTTCTTCTGCATTTTCTTACTATAGCCTTCCAAATATTACCTCGTATTCCTAAATTTAGCATTTCCCTAATCATTATTTATGACAAGCTAGGAAACAAGAATCTGATTAGGACCCTTGTGGGTGCGGACTCTTAAGTTATTACAGAGCTCCACACACGTCATTGTCTCCATCTAGAATCAATTAGACCACATATTGGAAGGAGCCCTGGTGGTACTGTGAGTTAGACAATGACTGGGTGGCCAAATGCTAGGTCGCAGGTTAAACCTACTATACAGAGTATTGCGTGAGATGAGACTATCTGCCTTTGTAAAGGTTTATACGTTTGGAAACCTTATACGGGGTTGCTTTCTGGGTGTCAGAATCAACTAGAAAGCAGCGAGTTTGAGTTTGGTTAACTGAAACATGACCAACACTTATAGCAAATAATTTTCTTCTAATGCGCAAATAACTGCAGGTCTTAAGGTAATAATTTTATGTCCACACCATTAAAAAAAATCAATTCAAAGTAGCCAAATTGTGAACTATTTGCTGTGTTTTGTTTTTTCACAACTACAATTGTGTGTGTGAAGTGGCATAGTGGGTTAAGAGTTGGGATGCTAACCACAAGGTCAGCAGTTGGAAACCACCAGTTGCTTCACAGTAGAAACACGAGGGTTTCAACTCCCACAAGAGTTTTTACCCTGTCCTAAAAGGTTGCTAAGAGTTGGAATAAAAACAAACAAACAAACAAAAAGAGTTGGAATCATCTCAATGAGTAGTAATAGTGTATTTAATAACTCAAAATAATCTACTCATTTTTAAAATATATCAATAAACTATAAGATGCTTTATAAAACTGGTATTCTGTTTGACATTTTAATCATGTCATATTAGGTCATTTCAATATGTGGTTCAAAAGACAGAATTTGACCAACACTGTAAACAGAGGAAACAGAATAGAGTTCTTCACAGAACATTCTGATGATAGCCCATATTTGATAGGTTTGTCCTAATATAAGACAATTCAGAATATCGTTACTTTTAACTATAAAATTTAACAAATACACTCACCCTCCTGTGCCAATGGATCTCTTTTGATGGTTTTTTGAATCATAATAGCGCTGTAGGATCATAGCACTTCTGCTTTTCAAATAACCAGTTTCCACCTCAATATAGTTCTCCAAATAGGAAATGAAAATGGATTTGATAAGCTTAGACAAGAAAGTCTGTTTATCAGTACCTAAGTTAAACTCCATCAGCTTGCTGGAAAGATTGGTGGTTCTTTCATGGCAAAGGGGGAGAAAGATGAATGTATAATTAGGTATAAAAACAACACTAAGGAGTATTATTTTTACATGACTATGTTAAACCACCATTTCTTCAAAACCATTTCTTGAGACTTTCCTTATCTTTTTATTTGCTAATGTTGAAGGTAGGGTCACAAAGTCATTGTTGAGATAAGCTTCCAGTTTATAGCTGGTTACTTTTGAAAAACATCCTCCCCAAATAATGACAATAAAGAATAGCAATAGGGGTAGGGAAAGGGGGATGGGTGTGGGGGCAGGGGAGAGACAGGAAAACCTCCAAATTAAGCTCTGATATATACAATAGCTCTAAGAATAGCACTGTCACTTATTTAGCGCAAGACAAAGTCTCCCACTAGAGTTTTACTTCCTTTGAAAGTTTCTTAGATTATAATAGCATATAAGTGTGATTATACACTAGTTTTAAGAGGAAAAAAGTTAAAAACTAATGAAATAGCATTAGTTTCTTATTAAAACCAGATACAAAGTTCTTGAGTCTCCATTTGAACAAGAAAGCATGGTTTTATGTTCTATAACATAAAGCACAGTATCTCTAACTTCATGGCCCCTAACAACATAATATACAGGGTTAGGTTGTACCTTGAGTCAATCTCTTTTGAAAGACGAATGAGAATAAAGAGGTGAATAACAGAAAATGAAGGGACCTATTATAAACAAAGGAGAAACAGAAATGGAGTATGTCCTTTGGACTGTGGTTCCTGTGCTAAAAACTTCCTAGACTTAGGAGAAGGATGATGCCAAAAGACATGAAAATTCCCAAGGAATGCCAGGTTTGCAGATGTTGAAAAGACACAAGAGTTCAGAGACAAAGCTTTTCCCTTAAAGCTGGCACGATGAAGTTGGACTTCTAGCTTCCTAAACTGTGAGAGAATATATTTTTATTTGTTGGGGGGGGGGGAGCATAATATCTAATGCGTTATGTGTTAATTAGTTAATTAGTTAATTAGTAATGTGGAAACGTATGCTATTTGATAAATTACGTTCCAAAATACCTGAGTATGTCCTCATTTTCACTTTTTTAAGCCTAAGACCTATTATTTTTTAATAATTAAAAATATACCTTGTATAAAGATCATAGAGATTTTTGAGATATTGCTCTGCATCGAACTTTCTACATTCTTCTAACTGGTCTTTCACAGAACTCTAAAACAAACAAACAAACAAACAAACAAAAAACATTCAGCCAATTAAAAATATTAAATTCTCTAATTTCTCAAGATACTTTTTCCTTCTAAAATCACTCTACTTTCTTGGTTTAGTCTGATTTATAATCCAACTCTAAGAAGTAAGAAAAGAAGCTTTTATTTTGAATGGTTCTCACACTGTAGGTATCTCTATCAGCCTTGATAACACATACAAAAAATTTAGAAATGCCTTTTTCTTTGGAAACCAGCTTATAAAGTACATCAATAAAAACTGAGGCTGTGCCAATAGATTGAGTTTTTGGTTAACACTAGTGTCCTCTGAGACATAAAAAACAAAATTTTTGAATTTCCATTTAAACAAGAAAACATGTTTTTATATTATATAACATAAGGCATAATATCTAGTTCTTCAATGCAATTAGGAAGGTTGCATTACTAGTCTATAAAGCCAATTATTAATTAATTAATAGGAATTCCTTGATCAGTAAAGTTGAAAAACATTTCATAGTACACTTCCACTTCTAGAGAATCACAATACACATGTGCACCTGTAAAGACAATTAAATATCTGGAATTGTTTACAAAGTATATTTTTTAACATCTCTTATTCCATTTTAGGAAATGCTGCCTTAAAGCACAGTGCTATAGGAATCACCACTCCAAATTAAAGTCCTGTTTTGATTTTTTTTTACTCTTCTAGTACCATATTTTTTTATAACATCTTAGAGTAATTCTAAATTCTCTATAAAAAAAAAAAAATCTAATGGTAAGGACTCCTCTCCCCCACCAAAATCTAAGGTTAAAATCTATTACAGTGTACTATTATTTTCCTACTACTATTACGTCACAAAGTTGAAGTACATACTCTGATGACACTTAGTGATCATCTCTTTTACTGGAATTAGACTACTACTGCTAAAGTCAATATATTAATAAACTATGTTTTTAAAAAAATCTTTAAAATTTGGGAGAAAAAAACCCACCTACTGTTCTAAAAGCTACTTAATTTGTTCTTGTTTAAATTACCTGTAGTTTGATTTCAAACACATTTTGAGTAAGTTTAGCCAGTACTGTCTCTGGATTACTAAAGATATCTCCGACTTGTTTGTTCACCCGTTGGCAGAGAATTGCTGCATCTTCAAATATATCATTTCTCAAGTAAGCACCCTAAAGAGTAGAGGCATTTTAAAAAGTAAATATAGTTCTTAATGTAAATTGGTGTTAAATAACTTCTAATAAACTGTGCTGGGTTACCTCCTGGCATTGCTTTATATAAACGTCAACACAATGGGAATAGCCCTGCAAAAAAGGAAATAAAAGACGATTGTTATCTTTCCTTGTTCAAATTCAATTGGAGTCATCTAAATACAAAGAAGTGCTACATGCTGGAGCATTATGCCTATGTCTCAATGAATAGCCACACGCTGAACATAAATAAAACTGACTGTAATGAGCCAATAACCTAGTGTCATTAATTTTTGACAAAATGATATTCTTGTTAGCTTTTAGGCAGAAAGAATAAAATTAAGACCTAGTTGAATTCTTCATAGAAATTTTTCTGCTCTGTGGATTCTCCTTCACTCTGAAACATAAGCACATGCACACACATACATTCAAGGTCTTAAGGAAAGATTTTATGTATATATATTTCCTTCTTTCTCCTCTTGAAGTCAAAGCAGTTCTTCCCTTGCTAGAATCCGGAAAAAGTGCTATAGTTAAGCTTAAATCTGGTAATTTGAAAATTTACTTTTAAAACTAAATTTATTTTAACAAAATACAACAAAAAATAGTTTATAAGCTAAACTAAAAAGACTTCTGCCTAGAACAAATCAGATAAAAGCACAAATAAGGAAAACAAAGTATACTGTGATCTCAAAGACTAATCTCAATGTTCCATCGAGAGATGTGCCGTATATACTCGTGTATAAGGCGAGTTTTTCAGTACATTTTTAATACAGTTTTTGTGGTAAAATTAGGTGCCTCGGCTGATATTCACTTATACTCAAGTATATACGGTAATTTAAATGAACCGTTCAACAAACTCCTTCCATTTTTCGAATCTAATATAAATATGAAGAAACAGACTGAAGAAAGCACAACCTGCTTTATAGAAATATACATCCACATTAGAGAAATTCTTTCCCTAAATCAAATATGAGAAAGAAATTTTCATAATGGTACAGTCAAAATTCCTTTGTATTACCATGCGAGATCCATTGAATTTGTCTTTGACTGGTCACATTCTACCTAACTGCAGTTCCTGTACTCCAAAAAGTCTCAGTCAAGTCTTCTTGTCTTTAAACTATCCCTAAATATGTCTGATGGAAAACAATATATTAAAACAAAACAAAAACATGGAAAAAAGCAAAAGGGCACACAGATAGTTTTTTAAAAATCAAGCTACATAAATAACCATTGGTACTATTAGTATTATTGAATATAAAACTCTTCCTTAAACAATATTAAACACCCAATATTTAAGATAACAAGCCCTGATGGCATAATGGTTACACGTTGGGCTACTAACCATACGATCATCAGTTGGAAACCTCCAGCCACTCCATAGGAGAAAGATGAGGCTTTCTACTCCCATAAATAGTCATAGGGTCAGAAACCTACGAGGGTAGTTCTACCCTATCCTATGGGGTAGCTCTCAGTTGGCACCAACTCAATGGCAGTGAGTTTGGTTTAAGATGAAGATATTTAGAATGTAAATTCAAATTTTTCAAAATTATAAAAGTCATCACTGAGATAACAAATAAGGAAAAATCAGAGACTAACTAAACAGATAAAATTTATAATAATTTTCATTTACATTTTACCTTAAAATGAAGTAAAACTGCAGCTACTTCTCTCATTCTGGAAATCTCACCTCTTCTTTGAGCACTAGTAAACTCCTGAATCAGCTGGCATTCTAAATCATGATATTTACCTAAAAGGGAAAAGGAAACCATTTGGTGACAATGAGGCAGACAATATATATGTGTTATTTATGAGAATCTGAATTTTTACGAATATATAGATTTTGGATCTATCCTTTTTTGAAAGTATACAAAAATAACATGAGATTACAGGTAGTGGATGCCATCCTTATACTAATACTTGACAAACCTGTATTACCAAAATAAAAAAATCATCTAAATTGGTTAAAATAGTTGCACTCCCGAATAATTTGGCTCCCAGATACCATTTCTGAAAGTAGCAGAGAGATAAGATCTTGATGCTGTGGAAAGGGCAAGGATGACTATGGAAATCTTTTACTAAAGTTCAAAAAACCCTATCACCACTAAAAATGTTAGACTGAAGCATGAAATTACCTTCATCATAAGGTAATATAAAGTATATAATTCACTGTATTCTTGAATATATCGTATTGTTCTGAATGAGGACATGACCTGTAGACTAACCTCTAGTAACCAATGCCATCTCCAGGAACGCTAATGATAATGCCTTTATTCTTAGGCCTTCAGGAAAATAAGCACTTTTATCTACAGTAAAGGCCTCCCAGAGATACAAGCTTCCACTGAGATAGCTAACACTGAAACCAAGAACGATTTAGCTTGAATCCAAATACAAATATTGGAAAAAAAACCAAACTAATCAGGTAAGGAGTTAAACTGATAAAGAAATGCTCATACTATTTTTCCACAAACTTTTTGAAGCCCCCTCATATAATCTGAGCTTTAAATAAAAGTAACTTTACATATGTATAGATACAAAACAATCCCAAGATAAATTGCTAAATTAAAAAAATAAAACGTATAATGCACAGAGGGGACTTCAAAAAGCTTATGGGAAAATAATGGAATTTTTCCAAGAATTATTCAAATTCAGGGATGGTGGTCAGAAAATGACACTTCTCCCATTATTTCCATTTTACTATTTGTTTTATTCTTTTACAGAATTTTATTACCTATCCTTGTCCAAAGTTTTAAATAAATAAAACCTCACTTACTTGCAATTTTGGATTTTACTTCTGAAAACCTGAAAAGATAAAAAATCATTAACAGGTTCACTAATTGTGAACAAGGTACCGCTGTAATGCAAGATGTTAGCAAAACGGAGACAAGGTGTAGAACATACAAGAGCCCTGTGTCTGTGCACAATCTTTCTGTAAGTCACTTGCTAGGTAGAATCAAAGGTTATTTAACAAAAAAAAAACAAAGCGAAGGACAAAATTACAGGAGTGAACATTGACAGAAAGCAGTCAGGTGACAAAAATTAATTTGAACAATTCTTTGGAGTAGCTGGTTCTCATTCAGATATGAATAATCAATTTCTGTTTTAAAATGGGACATGCATTTTGAGTAGTTTCTCATGAAGCAACTGACAACCTCAACCTCACTAGTCCCAAATCTGACTGATTGTCCCTGTTCACTTTCAACACTTTAAATTCATTTGGTATTTGTCTGTTTCCATTTTCCCAAGGATTTAAAAAATAAAATTCCATTATTATTTTAAGGGTTGCTATGCATGCAAAAATCACATGTAAATGAATTACTACAAAACTGAAAAATAGAGACTCAAAAATGACTACCAGAATAACCACTTAATCTTTACAAACTAAAAACTAAAGTACTACAGACTAGATTTCCCTCCAAAACCTCAAATATCTACAGCACAGAAAACTTACGTTGAAAAATAATCCTAAAAGAAGAAAAAATCCAGCGCAATCAGTTTGAAGATAGAGAAGAGTGGCTGGCAATAGATATTGCCACACATAGATGGAGGAGGAAATACAAGCTTATTCAAGCAGTATATATCAAAGTCTCGGGGGGCGGGGGTGGGGGGCAGGGGGGAAATCAAATCTGAGAGTATATGTATTCAAACCCAAACAAAGCTCTAAGACAGTGGTTCTCAATCTTCCTAATGCCTAGACCCTTTAACACAGTTCCTCATGTTGTGGTGACCCCAACCATGAAATTATTTTCATTGCTACTTCATAACTGTAATTTTTGCTACTGTTATGAATCCTAATGTACATATCTGATATGCAGGATGTATTTTCATTGTTACAAATTGAACATAATTAAAGCATAGTGATTTATCACAAAAACAATATGCAATTATATATTGTGAAATATTTACTATTTCTAATGACAAATAAATTTTTGTCTTGAAGCATGGTATAGCATGGATAACAGTCTTCACACTGGGTACTCATACGTGGGCGTATCTGTATGTGGGTGTATCTGTATGTGGGCACACCCGTCTGGAGACAGAGGAGCAGTGTCTCCGTTCCTCAGACCATTTAAAGTACGTGCTTTCCAATGGTCTTAGGCGAACCCTGTGAAAAGGTTGTTTGACTCCCAAAGGGGTCACAAGCCAGATTGAGAACCACTGCTCTAAGAGTAGTATGCATAGGAGGGGTGGGCAAAAAATTATTTCAATGCTGGAAAAGTATAAAATTAGTAGAAAAATAATGACAAATGATTACTAGTAATCCAGTAGTAGTGATCACTTGCAATAATTTGGCTATTAATAATTTTATAATTTTCCAGTACTGAAATAATTCTTAAATATCACCAACCAAAACTTCTCTATAAATGTATTTTCCTTGAGAGTTGGAACACTTATTAAATGGTTAAAAAGTCTCCTTCTTCAGGAGCTATGGTGATGTAGAGGGTTATGCACTGGGCTGCTAGCCACAAGGTCAGTGATGCAAAAGCACCAGCTGCTCCGTAGGAGAAAAATGAGGCTTTCTACTCCTATAAAAATAAAGTGTCAGAAAGGGTATGTATAGAGATTTTAAGACTGGAATGTAAATATGTAAATATATTTACATAAGAGTGTGGGGAAACAGATCTACATGCACATGTTTATAGGTTTAGTATTAAGGCAGCAGATGGACATTGGGCCTCCACCCAAGCACTTACTCATTGCAAGAACACATTGTTCT